AGGGATGGGCACGAACCAGCTCACGAACATAAGTCTGTGACAAATTTTGGCCAGTTTGAGAAAGACTATTGTTCAGGGCGGTAGACACAGTTCTCCTTGCCCATTTTGTCTTCCCAGCATCTCTGTGAGGTACATTAAGGTGTGAGAAAGTAACTGGCCCAAGGTCACCAGCAAGCTTCCATGGCACAGTGGGGATTCGAACCTAGGTCTCCCAGATCCTAGTCCAACACTTTAACCACTACACCACACTGGCAATCACACAGTCTTCCTAGCAGTGCTGTCCTTATTCAACGGTCGCTCACTTTCTACTGTCTGGAACTGCCTGTTCTTGTCTTCTGTACATTTGAGCTCTGCACAGAGATTGCAGAGGGGCACCCACGTTGGTCTGGGGCAGCAAAACCGAAAAAGTGGTTTAATTAGATGACCCCTACAATCATATTTATCTCGTGGCCTTCCTGGTCACCCTCTGAAGACGTCATTCCTAGCTGCACCAGCAAATTACTGACATGTACTTTTCTTCCCAGTCTGTGTCAGATATACTCAGCAAACAACTTTGTCCTGAATTCATCATCCCATCCACGGCGGGTAAGTGCCGCTTGCAGGGTACAGTCAATATGGGAAGTGGACATGGCTCAGTTGTAAAGCATCTTCTTGGCACGCAGAAGGTCCAAGGTTCAGTTCCTGGTATCTCCAGTTAAGGGATTTGGTAGTAGGTGAAGTGAAAGACCTCCACCTGAGACTCTGGAGAGCTGCTGCCAGTCTGAGTAGAAAATACTCAATACTGATGGTCAGTATTCAGTATGATTCAGTATAAGGAAGCTTCATGTATGTATCACTGGATCTAAGGACTCTGTGACCTTGATGGTTTGTACAGAAGGGAAAATTCCACTAGGAATTTTGGCAACAGAAAGTTGAAACTCTGTTAGCAGGCTCTGGTGAAACCTCCAGGCTGAGAGGGGGAGGGGAGGAGCCGATGTGAGGAGAACTTTAAGATTTAAATTCCGTCCCACTCGGATCGTAAAGTCCCCTCCAATGTGGAATGCCTTTGGTCCTTGTTCCTGGGTTTTTGCTTATATGAGGGGAAACCCTTGGTAATTCTTCAGTGTTGCTATCAAGGGAGAGGCTCTGGCTTCGTATGCGAAAGGCCTCAGGTTCAGTCCTTATGGTCTCGGTTAGCAGATGTTGGAAAAGAACCTTTCTCTGCCCTAGACTCTGGTGAGTCACTGCCTGTCAGAATAGACAGCACTGAACTAGATGGCCCAGTTGACTTGTGAATGTTTTTTTTTTTTTTTTTATTTTGTATTTTTGTGCGTGCATGTGCACCTGTTCAGAGAGGTGGCTGAATAAAGCCACCTGAGTAGCCTCCTGACTGCTGGTATTCCGAGGAGGTCTCCCATCTGAGTATTTGCCAGAGTCGACCCTGCTTAGCTTCCAAGATCTGGCAAGATCAGGCTTCCCCGGGCTATCCGGGTGAGGGCACCCCATGTTTTGACTTGATATAGGACCAAGTCAGTCTATTCAGCTCTTGTTTCTTCAGTCAGTCCTAATTTTGACCTCCTTCTCTCCCCTGCCAGTCTTGGCTCGTTGCCTCCCTTCTTTAAATGCCACTCAAGACTATGCTGACCAACGCCTGACAAACGAAACGCGGGCTATGATCACAGCGGGTTCCAAGTAAGTCCTCAGGTTCCCACAGTCAGCTAAAGCTGCCTTGTCTGAGGCAATAAGGTAGGATAAGAATGTTTTCAATAAAGAAATGAGATTTCTGAATTCTCTGAGCGAGTTTTTAACTGGTGTACCTTCACTCCCTCACACAAACAGGCCTAGTTCTCAGAGATGAACTAGGTGGGACGGCGGGTGAATCCATGCGTCTTTATTTTCATGTTCTACAGTTCATGTGTGAAGCTGGGGGTGGGGAGTGGGTAGTTTTTACTGCAAATGAAAAGGGACACGCAGGTAAGAGGAGCGAAAGCCTGCTGTCAAGATAGCGAGGATTTCTCGTGGGTTAACAGGAGACTTGAGCACACATGAGCCAACTTAGGTTTTAAAGGAAAATATTTATTTAAAACATCTGTAAAAAGAGAGAATCCAGCAACAAAACACTTCAGAGAGTACGACAAAATAAGAAATACTAACTCAACTACCTGTGTTCTACAGTGCAGTTTTCAGGAAGCATAGGTCACAACGAGAAATGTAGCTTCACGTCGAGGTCTGCGAACACAAACCGCATACAGGAGTTCCCAGAATCTCCTAGGCTAGCTTTTCCCCAGCTAAGGTGTCAAAATATACTCTCTTTTCCTTTCAACTATCAGCTGCCCCCACTTCACGGCCAAAACAGTTTTTCCAAATAGAGTTAATTGGTAGGTCTGGCTGTCCTTAGAATCAGCACCTTAACGATAACAGACTGAAACCAGCTGCACTAGAAAAAGAAGGCTAACATACTGTTATATCACTTAACCCTTCATGGGCACTTTTGCTTCACACCTGCCCTCTCTCTACCTCGTTGGCACTTGGTGTTGGTTGAAGTATTTTTTCTTCCAGTCAGGCTGCAGTACTCAAAGTGAACCAGCCTGTAAGAAAACAAAACAACAGGTTGCAGGCAATGTTCCCTCTAAGCTGTGGAGTCTTGTGAGCAAAAATTCTACTTTGTGAGCTACTGGCATTAAAATTGTGAGCAAGTGATTTGGCTGCTGCATAGATTAGTTTGCTCTGAAGCTATCCCTTCTGAGTTAAGACAAAAATCTGTGAGCTGGAGGCTAAAAAGTTATGAGCTAGCTCACACTAACTCAGCTTAGAGGGAACACTGGTTGCAGGTTTCGCGCCCCTCAGCTGCACATCCCATACCCGTGGATGCCTGGGCCTTCACAGGGATGAAGTTGAACTGTACTGTTATATCAGGAGTGACTGGACGTTTCTTCACACGAGTACATAATTCCCTAGTGTCAGGAAGAAAGGGAGAAACCTCTGCTAGAACCTGCCGTGCTATTTTTCTATATGCATAGGGTATTTATTTTTTTTAAAATGGAGAAGCATTTGGTTATGTATAGCGTTGCCTGCTCTAGGCTGGGAAATATCTGGAAATTTGGGGGTGGAACCTAAGGCGGGTGGGGTTTGGGGAGGGGAGGGGCTTCAGTGGAGAATAGGGCCATAGAGCCCACCTTCCAGAGAGGCCATTTTCTCCAGGCAAACTGATCTCTGTTGCCTGGAGATCGCTTGTAATCCCAGATCTCCAGCTACCGCCTGGAGGCTGGCAACCTTAGTTAGACCCCACCTGTCTTCTGAAAAGGTTCAGTCCAGACACAGGTTTATTACTTCAGTGATATCAAGGATACATACACACACACACACACACACACACACGGCTTGGTTGGGGTTCCTAGGCTTGCCAGCCTCCAGGTGGGATCTGGAGATCTTCTGGAACCACAACTCATCTCCAGAAATAGAGATCTGTTCCCCTGGAGAACAAAATGGCTGCTTTGGAAGGTGGACTGTATGGTGTTATGCCTTGCTGAGGTCCTTCCCCAAACCCCATCCTCCTAGGTTTGCCAGCCTCCAGGTGGGACCTGGAGATCTAATGGAATTACAACTCATCTCCAGACTACAAAGTTCAGTTCCCTTGCAGAAAATGGCAGCTTTGGAGGGTGGCTTCTGTAGCATTGTACCCTGCTGAGACGCCTGCCCTCCCCCAACCTGCCCTCCCCAGATTCCACCCTCAAAATCTCCAGGAATTGATCAACCTTAGATGCCGTTCAGATTCCAAACACTGGACACGGAGCTCCTCATTCCCTCTTTAGCAGCCCCTCCGTTGGATCGGCTAAGTTAGCGAGAAACAGTGTTGACCTCCAGGCCTTGAATGTCACCTGACTTCTACATGTCATTTTTTGTAAAGGGATGTGAGCAGCCTGGTCAACAGGGATGAGCTAGGAAGCTGCCTACAGCCTCTCAATGGCAGCACTGCCGCCTTCGGTCTCCTTGCCAGCTTGTCCTGTTCCGGTCCGTGGTCCCTTTCCTTGTCTAATGACCCCCTTTCGGTCCCTTCTCTCGACAGCCAGATTATCGAGGCGCTCAATGCCAAGAATATCGGGTTGAAGATCTTTGAGGACTTTGCACAGACGTGGTACTGGATCCTGATGTGAGTGGCCGAGGTGGTGAAGAGAACGGAATGGGGGGAGGAGAGATTAAAAGCTTTTTGCACAGGAGGGGACAGATAAGGAAGAACCTCAAGCTTAACAGGGTATATGGTTAATTTCATAGTTACGTAAGTTCTGTGCCGTCCTTCACTGCCTAAGCAAGGAAGGTGGCTTCTGGCCAGAACCCAGTTCTTCCTGATCCTACATACCTTCCAGCAGTACTACTTTGCTCATAGTAATGAATTTGGAGCCCCGTAGCTGGAAATGCCAGAAGTCGCCATGCCAGAAGCAGAACAGGGGTCCAGAAAGGTTCATAGGCTGTTTGTGGTCTCCTACCACAAGCTGAGAATTACTGTACGGATTATTATGAAATGGAGCTGTCTATCACCCCAGTTTGCATTGAGGCTTTGTGGGGAAAAGAGCAGTTTAACCACTGCTCAGTTTTGCTCACTGAAACTGGCTTCCCTGCTGTACTACTAGCATTGTAAAGGGGGGGGGGGAGACGTATCTTTTAAAAACATGCATTTTTTCTCCTTTAAAATGCTAACATCAGAGTGTGGTATCTGGTATTGGTTAGCAAAACCGAGTGGAGGTTGAAGGGTCAGACCCCTTCTCCGTTCTCTGCACAGCCCTGAGGCAAATCGAGGCGGCACAATATGAATTTTGGCATGTCTGTTTTTACTTTCAGTCCAATACTGTACGCACTGCACCACACTGACTCTAAAAAAAAAAGGGTTTTATTTATTGGGACTTCTAGCCCGCCCTCCCCCGCACAGCAGGCTTAGGGTGGGTTACAACATTCTTAAAAACATGCAAAACTTAAAAAAAACAGATACAAAACAGTATCACTGTGTAAAAGCCTCAAGTGGGCGCCAGCAAGACAATTTGCTGAATTGAATGAAGTTCCTATTGTGCTATATAGCTGCAGTTCTAAACAGTGCAGGGGACGTCGGTTGGGTGAGTAGAGCAGCTACGATGGATCAAAATGCTGCTAGACAGAGCTAAGCTAACCAGAGCAGAGCAGGGGAGGCCATTGTAGCTGGATTGTCGCTGCGTCAACCACAGACTTGGTGGAACATCTCTGTTTTGAGGGAACTGTAATAGATCTCGCAGGGCCCGGATCTCACAGGGGAGAGTGTTCCACTAGGCTGGCGCCAGAGCCGAGAAGGCTAGGTGGACACCTTTGGGGCCAGGGATAAGCACTAGGTGTTCAGGTCTCTGCTGGTCCCTAGTATAAGGGAGGCTGGGCCATATCCCAGAATCTACTGATCCTTCCGCAGCTGCTCAGAAGGCCAAACCTAGGAGGTCAAGATGAGATTTGGGTCTGGGTGGATATAAGAACATAAGAGAAGCCAATGTTGGATCCGGCCAAAGGCCCATCCAGTCCAACACTCTGTCACACAGTGGCCGAAAATACCAGGTGCCATCAGGAGGTCCAGCAGTGGGGCCAGGACACTAGGAGCCCTCCCACTGTTACCCCCCCCAAGCACCAAGAAGACAGAGCATCACTTCCCCCAAAATCCCTATCTATATCTTGCGGCTAATAGCCACCGATGGACCTCTGCTCCATATGCTTATCTAATTCCCTCTTGAAGCCGTCCATGCTTGTAGCCGCCACCACTTCCTGTGGCAGTGAATTCCAAGTGTTTTAATCACTCTTTGGGTGAAGAAGTACTTCCTTTTATCTGTTCTAACCCGACCGCTCAGCAGCTTGCCACAGAATGTAGGAGAGGGTCACCTTTCTCCCACTCAAATTTTGTCTTCCTCTTCTCCCCCTCCCTCCCCGCGCGCTAAGAGTGCTGGTGATTGCGATGGTGCTGAGCCTCCTGTTTCTCCTACTGCTGCGTTTTACTGCTGGGTTTCTGGTATGGATTCTCATCTTCGGCGTGCTGGTCATCATTGCTTACGGTGAGTACAATTATGGTGAATCCAGAGAACAGGGACAAATGAAGGGTTAGGCCAAGTTAGGGGACGTGGCTCAGTGGCAGAATGTCTGCTTGGCATGCAGAAAGTCCCAGGTTCAATCCCTGGCATCTCTGGTTAAAAGGGTTACCAGGTCCTACCTGGGTGCCGGGGGGGGGGGGACTCCTGAAGTGATGTGACGACGCCAGGCACACTGGGGGCGGGGCCACAGCCATACGAGGGAAAACCATAGAGTTTTCCGTCGGATGGCCATGGCCCCACCCCCAGCATGCTCGGCGTGGTCGTGTCACTTCCGGGTGATGTGGTTGCGGCGCGCACACGCACTCCCGGAGCAGCACTGGAGTCCCCCGCTCCAGCGCCGATCCGACTTGGCAACCTTACAGAGAGGGCCTGACGACCCTAAATCCCTCCCCAAATCCCCCACACACCGGCACTGTCTATAAATCTCCAGGAATTTCCCAGGCTGGAGCCGGCAACCATAGTTAACAGGGCAGCGACAGAAACAGAAATAGAAATTTCAGTTCCATTTATTTCCATCAAAATATGATGTATGTTGGGATGTGCACATCGTACTAGACTGGAGGACAATGAATAGATAGCGGTGGCCTCAGATCATCTCTATGGGCCATCCTTCTTCCTGGGCGGGAAGTAGGGATGCCAGCTCTGGGTTGGGCAATACCTGGAGATGTTGGGGGTGGAACCTGGGGAAGGTGGAGTTTAGGGAGGGAAGGGACTGGGCCATGGTGGATTGGGGCCCCCTAAATCAGGGGATCCCCTGGCCCCACCAGGGGAATGGCACCCTACTGGTTAAAAAGATCAGGTTGTAAGGCAGAGGTCCCTGACATGGTGCCCATGGGTGCTGTGGTCCCCGCTGACACCTTTTCTGGTGCCTACCACATGTTTTTAGGAAGTAGGCAGGGCCAGGTAGGGCTTTTGCTCATCAAGGCTTCCGATTGACTATTGGAGATTCAATTAGATATTGAGTTTTTAAAAACACGTTGCTTTAGCAGCAGCTGCCACCACAGCACAAGGATCTTCACTGTGTGACTGAAGTTAAGCTGCGGCGATCATTTTGTGGCTGGCTCCGCCTCCTGCGGCAGCCATTTTGTTGTGGCAGCCACTGTGCCATGTCAGCATTCCAAAGGTGCCCACAGGCTCAGAAGGGTTGGGGACCTCTGCCCTATTGTCATCCCAGTCTGAAATGGATGCTATTTCATTCATCCCGCTTGGGAAACTTACAGATAGCCCATCCAGGACTAACTTTGATGGACCAAGGGTCTGATTTGGTATAAGGAAGCTTTGTATGTTTCGTATGTTTGCTATGGCATATGGCCCTAGCCTGTTGTGATGGGGTGATTATTTGGTGGTTTTCTCATGTAGCAAGCATGCTCTCATCTTGTTCCTCTTGCCTGGGGAATTTCGATACTTTCCCCTGCAAGTGTATAGCCTCACATAACATCTAGCGTGGGTAGAATGGCAGGAGAGCATTGGCTGATGACTAAAACTGTGCAAGATTTTTAATAAAAATGGCAGCGACCAGTCAAGGCTCAGGAAAATAAGTGCATTGTGGGTAGTCTGCAAAAGACTATCTGCTGACCAAGTTTAAAGCATGGCTCGGTGGTAGAGCATCTGCTCGGCACGTAGAAGATTCCTGATTCCATCCCTGCCATCTTCAGTTTAGGGGACCAGGTAGTAGGTGATGGCAAGGACCCTGTAGTCAGGGTTTTTTTCTGGGAGGTGCACCCATTAAATCCCCAACCCTTTCTCCTTCTCCATGGTGGATCTTTTCTCTGTTCCTCATCCACTCACCAGGTCAGGCCAGGTCAGCGAACCTTTTCCTTGAGATCTCCAGGAGTTCCTTCCTGAAGTCTCTCTAGTATTTAATTCCTCCAAATTTCTGTTCCCTGCTTGGAGGAGGCGGGGCTTGACCATCCCATTGTTTAGACCTATTAGCAGGGGTCATTTCCTGCAGAAGCGTACAGGAGCAGAGCTCTGGCAATAAGGAACCCAGGGGGTGGGCACATGCAACAAGCCCCACCCCCTGCTCCCAGCAGCCCTCAGTTGGGCCACAAGGAGCAAGAAGTAGCCAGGTAAGTTGCAGAGCCACCCCCCCCCTTCCCAGCCCGCCTTCAGGCAGAAGCTCTCCCTCCTCTGCAAGGACAGATCTGCACGTCCCCCTCCCCCAATAGCTAGCAATCCAAAACAGTCCAGTGGAGCCTGAGCGGTGGGTGTTGCCTTCTGACACACTTCTGGTGATGTCAGGGGGCGTGGCGTATGCAAATAAGTTATAACGAGTTATGCTAATGAGCTCCTGCACCTTTTTTTCTACAAAATGACCCCTGCCTATTAGGATTTGTATGAAGGTGGGCTGAGGTAAGTCTCGAAAGCAGCTGAACTGACCTCCCCCCCTTCCTCCCTGTTCTCTGCCCAGAAAGGGGGGAAAAAACTTTCAAAACTCAGAGTGAAAGTTTCACACAGCTCAAACCTCCAAAGAAAAAAAATGCATTTCTTCACAGCAGGTTCTTCACAAACATGCACTATTTTTTAAAAAATCAACAGAAATGAGCAATAAGATAAAAACAACTATGGCACACTTGTAACTGCCCCTGAAAGTGGCAGCCATGTGTGTCTAGTTCCGCCTCTTCACACAGGGTTGCCAGGTCCCCCCCACTCCCGGCCACCAGCTGGGGAAAGGGGGTGGGGTTGCCAGACCCAGGCTGGGAAACACCTGCAGATTCGGGATTGGAGCCTAGAGAGAACAGGGACCTCAGGGGAGTATGACACCACAGATTCCACCCTCAAAAGCAACCATTTGCTTCAGGGGAACATGTAACGATTCCTTGTTTATGTGTGTGTGTCTCTTTAAAAGTTTGGTTGCATGTTAGATTAGTCTAGAGTGAAGAGACAAGTGTGGTGTGATTGGTGATTGACAGAGAGAGGGGAGGGGTTTTAGAAAGTGTTTCTGAGTGGAGGAATGGTTATGTCTTTCGGGAGTGACAGTTAGAGGTTTGAGAGTTGAGGATGACAGTGATGATAGTTAAGTTCTGAGTTCTGTGAGAGAAACAGAAGTTCAGTTAAGCTCTGTGTATGAAAGAAGTGAGAAGCTGTTCTGTGTGAAAACAGTTAAGCTGTCTGTTGATGTTGTTCAGAGAAGAAGAAAAGTTTAGGAAAGGCTGTATGTCCTGGAGAGAAACAGTGAACTTACATGACCTTGAGTTAAAGTTACAAAGTTACCTGAAAAATCCCTGACAGAAAGGGAGCAGAGCTTGTGTGAGACACCAAAGAATTTATCAGAATATTCACATTACCAGTTACTTTGTTCTACACTGTTATTTATGAGTTATATCAATAAATCTACTTTTATTTAAGATACCAGTTCTGAAAGAAATACTTCCTCAGGCACCACATTAGTACCTTGAAGGCCTAAAACCTCGACCTACATACCCAGTGATAGCCAAAATAAAGTAAAGGTTTGGAATGCCTAAAATTTCCTGGTGGCAGCCGGATATCCCCAATAGAACAAAATAAAAAGTACACTTTTAAAGTGAAACCAGGCCTCCCCAGATAAGGGGTCGTCACAGAACAGAACTCTCTAGTCCGGAGATGAGCTGTAATTCCTGGGGATCCCCAGGTCCCACCTGGAGGCTGGCATCCCTACACCCTCAGTGAGGTCTACAAATATATTGATGTTGTGCATGTTGCTGACCCCACTCTGCCCCATTGTCAAGAAGATAAGGAAATGGACACTTTGAATGTATTCATTTAGCATCTTTGTAGCCCACCAGGTCTCCTTGGACTTACTGTGACACCAGGGACTGAAAAGTATTCTCCTTTGAGGATTTCTCTCCATCCCCACCTTTCTGTTTCAGGAATCTACCACTGTGCCATGGAGTACCGCAACTACAATGCTCAGGGTGCCACTATCAAAGACGTTGGTTTCACCACGAACCTCAGCGTCTATGGCCATGTCAAGGAGACGTGGCTGGCTGTTCGTAAGTCTGCCTGGAGTGAAGAAGGGGATCTTTGGGCTCGGGTACCTCAACAGGGGATGGCGGGGAGAAGAGAGGTCATCTCACCCAGGCCAAAAATGAGAGGTTTGGCCCCAAGGCTCTGGGCCCTCCTGCCTCCTAGATTTCAGATTTCCTGTTCACTTGGTTTCCTTTCTGCATTTTGAGGTTTTGTTTTGTTATTGTCCTAGCCTAAATTAATTGCTGTTTTATTTGATGCTGTTCTCTTTTCTGCGTAAGTTTGTTTGTAAGCTGCCCTGAGTGCTTTCTTTTTTCTTGGCAGGAGAGTGGGATATACCTCAAATGTCTGATCAGGAAAACATCATAGGAACAAAGAATTAACTGCCCCCCTGCTAGGGTTGCCAAGTCCTTACTTCTTACCGGCGGGAGGAGCTCCTCTCTTCGTCCGGGAGTCTTCAGAGGTGGCATCATCACACAGGGCACGGTGCAGGGGGATGCTCTAGGATTTGAGAAAAACACTTTATGGTGATCACAGAGTTTTTTCTCAAATGCTAGAGTGTTCCCCCCCTGCAACGTGCCCTGCGCAATGATGTCACCTCTGGGTGATGTCATCACACCGAGCACATCAGCGTGGATGGTGCTGCTTGGGGGGCAGGGCACCCTCAAAGCAGATAAACCCCTGCCCCCATTGGTGGGATTCTACTAACAAATAAATATACACTGCAAAAACCTTTTAGCGAACTAATGTGTTCTATTTATGGTCATCATTTAGTAAAGTGCATAGTGTATCATTATTTCATCCTAGTCATGTATAAATATTCATTACATTCAATAAGCAATAACATTCAATACATACAGATTCCTAACTGCCAAACAATTTTGCATCAGTGTTTTAAAAGTCAAGCCCCAATGGGAATTTCTAGAATTATAAGCCCGCTTCTCCTTGCATGGAGTCTTCCAAAAAGGGGGACAGCCTTCTTGTATGGATGCTTTTTGCCGGACCTACAAAAGACACGTTATGCAGCTAACATTCATGGACGGAGTACTCCTGTCATTCTCAAAGCTGAATGTAATGAATATTTATACCTGACTAGGATGAAATAATGATACACTATGCACTTTACTAAATGATGCCCATAAATAGAACACATTAGTTTGCGAAAAGGTTTTTGCAGTGTATATTTATTTGTTACTAGACCCAAGCCTGCCCCAAGTGCTGCCGGGCAATCCATATTTCCCCACACATTTAGCCCTGAGGGGCAGCTTTCCATTGAGAATGGCTTTCTCCAAGTTAGTTTTATTCCTGGTTTGTTTTCATGTGCACACACACTTCTTCAGATATCTGAAGAAGTGTGCATGCCCACAAAAGCTCATACCCCAAATAAAACTTGGTTGGTCTTAAAGGTGTCCCTGGACTCAGACTTTCTTCTGCTGCTTCAGACTAGGGTTGCCAGCCTCCAGGTGGGGCCTGGGGATCTCCTGCTTTTACAACTGATCCCCAGCTGAAAGAGGTCAGCTCCCCTGGAGAAAATGGCTGCTTTGGAGGGTGGACTAGATGGCATTGTACTGTGCTGAGGCCCCTCCCCTCCCCAAACTCACACCTTGAATAAAACTCGGTTGGCCTTAAAGGTGCCCTGCTGGACTCAGACTTTCTTCTGCTGCTTCAGACCAACATGGCCACCCCACCTGACTCTTCCTCCAAGCTTTGTTTCTCAAATGTGTGTTTTGTGCTCAGCCGAGCTTTTCTCTCTGCCTCAGTGATCATCCTCTCTGTGGTGGAAGCCATCTTGCTGCTGACCCTCGTGTTCCTCCGCAACCGGATCCTTATCGCCATTGCGCTCATCAAGGAAGCCAGCCGGTGAGTGAGCCTCTGTGAAGGGACACGGTGGGAATGGTTCAGATGACAACGAGCACTATCCCTGGAAGGGGATCCGGTACCCGGAAAAGGTCTAGGGTAGGGGTGGACGATAGTGTTGTCTAATGGCTAGAGTGCTGGGCTAGAACCGGGGAGTTCACGGTCCTCATCCTCGCTCTGCCGTGAAACTTACTGAGTGGCTTGGGAGCCAGTCGCTGTTTCTCTCTCCCAACCGAACCTTCTCCCCAGGGTGTTGTGAAGAGAAAATGGAGAAGGGAATCTTGAACACCCCCCGGAGCCCCTTGAGGAAGGGCAGGATAAAGAGGCGATTGACATCCCGCCGCCGCCCCCGGCAGGGCTCTTTTTGTAGCAGGAGCTCCTTTGCATATTAGGCCACACACTCCTAATGTAGCCAATCCTCCAAGAGCTTACAGAGCTCTTCTTACAGGGGCTACTGTAAGCTCTTGGAGGATTGGCTACATTAGGGGTGTGTCGCCTAATATGCAAAGGAGTTCCTGCTGCAAAAAGAGCCCGTCACATCGGCATATAAATAAAATTTCAAGTAACAAACAGAGGAAACCTTTGGGGGGGAAAGATCAAAGTGGGCAGCCATGTTGGTCTGAATTAGCTGAACAAAGTCTGACTCCAGGGGCACCTTTAGGAGCAACAAAGTTTTATTCAAGGTGTGAGCTTTCGTGCGCACGGCACACTTCGTCAGACAAAGAAATGGAATTACAGATCATAGTTGTATATATAGATGGTGGTGGCTTGTTACATCGGCATGCAAAATAGTGAAGTGTTGTTTAAATAGTGAAGTGTCATTCTTTTTAATCTGTTAAAAAACGCTTCACTGTTTTAACATAAGAACATAAGAGACGCCAATGTTGGATCAGGCCAAAGGCCCATCCAGTCCAACACTCTGTGTCACACAGTGGCCAGAAACTCACACCTTGAATAAAACTTTGTTGGTCTTAAAGGTGCCACTGGACTCTAACTTTGTTCTTTGGGGGGAAATAATGGGTTTTTTGTGTGTGTGTGTTGTTACAAAGGGGGGGAGCAAAATTCATCTTTAGGCATGCTGGCAAAGTCCAAGATTTTCAGATGTAGCCTTAAAAGGGAAAAGAGTGATTGTGCATTAGGGTTAAATGAGCAAAGTGCATTGAGGTCCATCATGGAGCCCCTCACCCAAATCACCAGCAGATGGGGCAGGAGTGCTGTTTTTTAACTTAAATCTAGTTTAAGGAATGATTCAGTTCAAGAATGAACAGAGCAGGTAGAGAAAGAGGTACTTTTCTCCCTTTCTCACAATACAAGAACTCGTGGGCACTCCATGAAATTGCTGAGCGGTCGGGTTAGAACGGATAAAAGGAAGTACACCCAAAGAGTGATTAACACTTGGAATTCACTGCCACAGGAAGTGGTGGCAGCTACAAGCATGGACGGCTTCAAAAGGGAATTAGATAAGCATATGGAGCAGAGGTCCATCAGTGGCTATTAGCCACAAGGTATAGATAGGGGCTCTGGGGCAAGTGATGCTCTCTCTTCTTGGTGCTTGGGGGGGGGGGTCAACAGTGGGAGGGCTTCTAATGTCCTGGTCCCACTGCTGGACCTCCTGATGGTATTTCTGGCCACTGTGTGACACAGGGTGTTGGACTGGATGGGCCTTTGGCCTGATCCAACATTGGCATCTCTTATGTTCTTATGTTCTTATGAGTTTCTTTGGATTGGGGGGGAGCACCAGAAAACTTCCTGTGTGTAGTGGATACAGACTAGGACTGCAGTGGTGACTGGGCTGCCAGATCCCTCCTGGCAACTGGTGAGGGATGGGGGTGACTTACTAGGAGTAGGAGGAAAACCCAGTTGATGTCCCAGCGACATGTTGACGTCACTTCCTATGTGACCTGGAAGTAATCTCATGACACAGCGATGTCAGGGCGATGCTCTGATATTTGGGCAAAAACTTTATAGTAAATTTGGCTTCTACCATAGAGTTTTTGCTCAAATACTAGAGTGTCTCCCTGATGTCACCAATGTGGTGATGTCACTTCTGGGTCACGTTGGAAGAGATGAAGACACGTTGCTGCAACAAAGACTGGGCCTCCTCTTTTTCTGGGTAAGTCCTCCCACAGCCACCAACTGACCGGTGGCAGGGCAGTGGGGCCTGGCAGCGGGGGACCTCCAACTGGGGGGGGCTGGCAACCATAGGTGGTGATGACAGAGAGGAATAAGACTTTTGGTGATTACGATGATGGAGAACTTTCTAGATAACTGTGGCACTGAGGAGATTCAAGTTGCTGGTGGAGCGTGTGGGACCTGTTTTGTTTCTTTTCGCAGAGCCATTGGCTACATGATGGATTCTCTCCTTTATCCGCTGGTGACCTTTGTCCTGCTGCTGATTTGTGTGGCCTACTGGGCTATGACTGCCCTGTATCCTTTGTGAAACGGGCTTTGTTTCTAGTCCCATGATTCCCCTCTAAGAGAGTTAGGACGGGTTCATTTTGTGTGGATTCAAGAACGATTGAACTGTACTCATGTCTTATTGTGGCCCAACCAGCCATCCCTATTGTTGGATGCAACACACTGACATAGGGGGGAAAACGTATGAGAGTAAAGTCTAGCTTAGGGTTACCAACCTCCAGGTGGGGCCTGGCAACTGGTGGGAGGGTTGTAGGGGGCAGTGTCCCAGGAGAAAAATTAATAAGAAATATAAGGCCTTGGGTACTTACCGGACGTTCTGAACATAGAGTTCCTTGAGATTCCTAAAGCTACCCAGAAGTGAAGGGTAGCAATCTAGCAATCACCAGAAGTTCTGGCCATGGAATTTCTGGTGATTCCTAGAGCTACCCTTGTCACTTTCGGGTAGCTCTAGGAATCTTCAAAATCTCTATGGCCAGAACTTCCAGTAAGTAGCCGAGGTCTTGTTTTTCTTTTTAATTTTTCTCCTGGGGTGCTGCCCCTCAACCCTCCCAAACCCGTTTGCTGAGTCATTACCCACCCTTGAATGCTTATTGGGAGGACAGGCAAGAAACAGGACGAATGATTATGTGAAGAAATCAGTTGTTTCATTTCAGTATTTGAAAACTGTCAAGTGCCAGCTGTTAAAATCTGATATGTAATAGTATTTCCATAATTTATGTATTTTTGCGTTCAAGTTACAGCCAACTCACAGCAACCCCATAGGATTTCCAAGGTAAGAGATGTCCAGAGGTGGTCCGCTATTGCCCGAGTTGCATCTCTGGACTTCCTTGCTGGTCTCCCATCCAAGCATGAACCAGGACCGACCCTGCTTAGCTTCTGAGATCTGATGAGATCAGGCTATCGTGGGCCATTGTGTTCCATGATAACTGGCTACTTAATAGATGACAATTTCTAAGATCTGTTTTGAAATGTACACAAACCAACATTAAAGACATGCGTACAGTACTCAAGCGTTGAGGAAGCAGTGAACAACAATCTTGCGTTCAAAACACTGATCGTTTGGACAACATTTTGTGAATACCCATGGGTATTTGATTTATCTTCAGCCTTGCCTTCTTTATGATTTCCCCCCCTCATCTTAAGTTTTCATTGTTTAAGCGGGGTGGGGAGGGGAGCTGCTCCTTCCGACAATGTCTTGTCCAAAGCCATAAAACATCCAGGTTTAAGACGGGAAGGAAGAGAGCACCTGATGAAAAGCTGTGGCAAACATGAGACTCTTGCCTTAGTTAAGAAGCCTATCTTGATTATCTGAGTGCTGTGTTCAGGGTACGTTGTGTCTTGCTTTTCTCAATATTTTGGTATTCTCCTCCCGAAAACTCTTCTGCCCTATGCATATTATATAACTGTATCTTGCTACGCAAGGGCTTTTTGCCTGGCTGGGCTTACAGCGAATCCTTTTTGCCAGGTTTGCCAGGTTAGATTTCTTAATATTCCATATTCTGACAGTCTTTGTCCTTACCCTTTAGGTAGAATTGATGCCTCTTTTCATATTCTTTCTGAGTGCCTGATCTTGGAAGATTTTGGAGCATCTTTTATTACTCCTCTTCTAGCTTGTCATTCTAATCTTTCCATCTCAGAAGCTTTGCATTGTTTTGCTTTGTGATAAAGATCCTAAAACTACTTTATCAGAAGCCCGTTTCCCCCCTTCCCCAGTCCTTTCATTTGTTAAGTCACAGCTATTTCTGCTGCTCACGGGCATGGTTGCATGGAGCCTCTTTGGGAGAAAGGGAGGGGAAGAAAGGAAGAGAGTGGAAAGGATTCCTGCTCTGTCCTTTTCTTTGTTTAGCCTTTTCCCTTGACTGCTTCCCACCTTCAGATATCTGGCCACCTCTGGAAGTCCTCTCTACCGCATCACCCCCGTGAACATCAGTACCCCCAACTGCTCGGAAATCATTGGGAATGAGAGCTGCAACCCACTGGTGAGTGATTATAACCCACATAGGCTGGCAGGGCTCTTTTTGTAGCAGGAACTCCTTTGCATATTAGGCCACACACCCCTAATGTAGCCAATCCTCCAAGAGCTTACAGAGCTCTTCTTACAGGGGCTACTGTAAGCTCTTGGATGATTGGCTACATTAGGGGTGTGTCGCATAATAGGCAAAGGAGGTCCTGCTACAAAAACAGCCCTGCCATCGCCAAGGAGGGATGGGCTTCCATTTCTTCCTCCAGCTTTCACACACACACCCCGCTCCTATACGTAGCTTCACTTCCAGGGATCCTCTGCCAGCATTTTAGGGCTGGGCAAGTCATGTGACTGTCCTTTGAGGAATCCTGGGAACTGTAGTTTGGCGATCATTCCTTGCTAGGGCCTTCTATCCAGACCCTGCGGTGTTTGACAAAGGACAATTCTGCACTGGCTTTTCCCTCTCTTGTTTAACAAAAACCATGTCGGAACAGAAATTCCCCTCTGCCTTGCATGCCGCTTTCACTTTCTTTGATCATCAGGTTTTATGGTACCTCCTGCATAGATTTGTGGCTGTTCAGGGGTGGCTTTACAGTCAGCATGGCGTTGCCCTCGAGGGATTTGAATGTGGTTTTGAGCTGCATCTTTTCCTCCCAGTTGAGCAAATGCAGAGCGAATGCCAGATGCAGAATTGCCCATCGAGAGGCATCCCATTCATTAAGGAGATAACACCTCTACGCACCTAGAGCAATGTAGCAAACCCCCCCCCCACACACACACAAATGTCCAGGCAGGCTGAATTGCCCGACTCCAACAAGAGTTCCTATAAATTCCTTGGCACTTTGGAGTGTGGCGGGGAGCGGGGAGCGAATCCAGGAAGACGTTGGGCTGGAGGAGATACAAGATGCCTCTGTGTTATATCTTGGGCCAGCCAGCCTGTGTTTGGGGCAAAGGCTCTCTTGGCCTGATTCAGAGCCAGTGTCAGCTATGCTGCCATGGGGGTTGGGAAGTTCTGTCAGTGTCTGTGTAAATTGCTTTCGCATTCCTTTGCACTGAAATGCTTATCTCTAACACAGGGCAGGTGGGAGTGTGTGTAGTCTGCCATCCCGGGCAGCTGTGGGAGCCTAACGATTCCCAGCTTCGCATAGAAACAGTTTGCTGGCTTTAGCCCACGCGCGGGAGGGTGCCTAATTGGCCAGTGCAGGGTGTGTGTGTGCATACGAATGCCCTATGTCTCATTATGTCCAAGAGACAACTGCCATTCTTAACAGTGACTATGTTAATGCATCTATAGCTCGTCAATAAAAGTATAACCTTTCCTAGAAGTGTGTACTCTGTTGTTGGCTGTGGGAATGACAGCCAGTGTCTTTGCTGGGGCCCTTGCTGCTTCCAAGCCCGCCCTGATTTTCCTTACTTACAATTAATCAATTCAGTTCTCTGGCTCATGGTGGAAAAGATAGCGTGCTCCGACCTCCTTGCGGTTTAAAGCGTAGACAAAGGAATGGGAAGGAGGCTGTAAAACTCAAATTCCCGCGTCTCTGGGTGCAGGAAATGACTGTTGATCAGCCAGTCACAGGAATGCTTTTGGATGTCTAACTAAAGACTTCAATTCCCAGAGGCAACTGCTCCTAAAGATATATGGCAGTTCTACTTAGCTACAGTTAAACGCTGGCTGGGGCAGCACACGCCCTGTTCCTTCGGGTTGGTCCCAGGGAGGCTGGAGAACCCCACAGCCACCCCAAGTCTCCACTTGGTGACTCCACCTCTTTCTCTCACTCCCTGGCGTAGCCAAAAACACACTGGATAACAACCGCTGCCACCAGCGACTCTGAGAGTATCTCCTGTTCCAAGCTGCACAGCTCGGTGGTGTGGTCTTTAAGATGGCAGATTCTGATCTGGAGAGCTGGGTTTGATTCCCCACTCCTCCTCCACGTGAAACCTGCTGGGTGACCTTGGGCCAGTCACGGTTCCCCTCAGAACTCTCTCAGCCCCACTTCCCTCACAAGGTGCCCGCTGTGGGGAGAGGAAGGGAAAGGCGATTGTAAGCCAGTTTGAAACTCCTTTGGGTAAAGAAAAGCGGGATAGAAAAGCCTGCTCTTCTACCTCTTCTTGCATTGTGCACCTGCACTGCCGTTGAGAAGCTCCAGCTAGTTGCTGCGCCTCCCTCCTACAAGGTAGCACTAGGGACAAACCGTTGTGATTTCACCGTTTTAACGAAGGGAGCTTTGAGTCTCAAAATTTCATACCCCGAAAATCTTGTTGGTCTCTGAGGTGCTACTGGACTCGAATCTGGCTGTTCCTACTTTATTTCCACAGCAGTCCTGTGAGGCAGGCCAGGTGGAGAGAGAAGGAGAAGGCTAAGGTTCACTCAGGAAGCTCCACAGCTGAGCTGGGAACTAAATACAGGCTTTCTTGGCCCAAGTCAGTCGACTGTCTCCTACCCCCCCGGTGCTGGTATGTTTGCCAGTACCCGAAGTGGATCCCATCTTGGAATTGACTTGACTTTCGGAACTCCTGGTTCTCATCCACTTAGGCCTTCAATGCCTCCTCCTACTCCCCTTGCCCCGTGAACTGCATCTTCTACAAGTACCGGGACGAAGGGCTGTTCCAGCACAACATCTTCAATCTGCAAGTCTACAACGTCTTGGGCTTCCTGTGGTGCATCAACTTTGTCCTTGCTCTGGGACAGTGTGTGCTGGCCGGTGCCTTCGCCTCGTACTACTGGGCCTTCAACAAACCCAACGACATCCCTGCCTGTGCTGTGACCAGCTCTTTCATCCGGACGTTACGGTGCGTGAATCCTCCGTGTGTGCGCGTGTGACCGGGAGGGTGCTGCATTTCTTCAAGTTTCAGGGAACACCTTAAGGACATCAGAGAAGCCATGTCAGAGCAGGCCAGTGGCCCATCCGGTCCAACACTCTGTGTCACGCAGTGGCCAAAACCCAGGTGCCCTCAGGAGGTCCACCAGCAGGGCCAAAACTCCAGAAGCCCTCCCACGATTGCCCCCCAAGCACCAAGAATACAGAACACCCTTGCCTCGGACATAGGCTTACCATCCCCCAAGTCTGGGTGGGGAATCCCCCACTTTTGTGTATTCCTCCCCACCACGGGCCAGCTGGCCACTGGGGGGAAACCCCACCCCCAAACAGCGACGTCACCACGCAATGTCCCTGACACACTGACGTCATGCGGAAGTGACATCATTGCATTGGCAATGTGGGGGATGCTCTGCTTTTTGGGCAAAACTCTATGGTTTGGTGCCGATTTTACCATAGAGTTTTGCCCAAAAAGCAGCCTTGACCCCAACGTGATGACATCATTTCCAGGTGATGTCACCACGTCAGGGATGTTCCCACCCACTCCTGGAACACCCCCCCCAAATCCCCCCACCAGTGCCACGACTCCACCTGGCAACCCTACTCAGACATAGTATAGTGCTCCACCTTGAGTAGAAGACGCTAGAAAGAGACCTTTCTTGACCTAAGACCTTAGAGAGCTGCTGCGGAGTAAGCAATGTTGATCTAGAAAGACCAGTGGTCTGACTTGGTTCTGCATCCAGCTAGAACATCTCTTCTGCAGAAAATGGTTCCAGAGGGTAGCTGTGTTTGTCTGGGGTAGAACAGCTAGAATCGAGACCTCAGAGACCAACAAGAGTTTCAAGGCATAAGCTCTCGTCTCTTGAAAGCCTCTACCCTGAAACGCGTGTTGGTCTCTAAGGTGTTGCCAGACTCGATTCCAGCTGTTCTTCAGAGCCACCTAATCCGATGTCTCTGCACTGGAGTGTCCTGGGGCATTAAAACGGCTGATCCTTGTGGTCAGCTCAGACCCGAACCCACAGTGATCTTAGGTTTTGCCTTCTGAGGGGGAGGGGAAGACAAAAGTTGAAAGCAGAAAACAAAAGTTGTAGTAAGCCAAAGAAAGTGTATTATTTGGACAAAAACATTCTAATACAGTCCTAGAACAAAGTCTGGGTCCAGTGGCACTTTTAAGACAAACAAAGTTTAATTCTGAGTATAAGTTTTCGTGTGCAGAATTCAACTTTGTTGGCCATAAAGGTGCCCAGTGGACTCAACTTTGTTCTATTGCTTAAGACCAATACAGCAACCCACCTGAATCATACAGTCCCAATGGGACTAGCAGCATACTTGAATCCTGAGTTAAATTTTATAACACTGAAAACCCTGAACTCTTCAATGGTGTATTGTCATCATAGACATTTTAGCTTTTAAGGCATAGACTTATCCTTGTCAATATCCATGTCTATAGTATGCACAGGAATTAATAGTCTCTAATGCTGTAGATTGCTTTACATACGAATCTTTATGCTAGACATTTTGAGAGAGCAAAACCATGCATGGGCTTTTCCACACTCTCACCTTAGTCCTGACTGTCTTGGGAGCAGTATTCCCTCTAAGCTGAGTTAGTGTGAGCTAGCTCACAGTTTTTCAGCCTCTGGCTCACACACGTTTGTCTTCGCTCAGGAAAGATGGCTCCAGAGCAAACTAATTTATGCAGTGGCCGAATGGCTCGCTCACAACTTTAATGCCAGTAGCTCACAAAGTAGAATTTTTGCTTACAAGACTCCACAGCTTAGAGGGAGCATTGCTTGGGAGTCGATCCACAAGCATTGGAATAGGTTTGGGCACGGCTCTTGCATATGTCTGTCCTCCCCGTGCTTTTTCACAGTTGTGGAGCCAGGTTACTTTCTTCTGCAAGTGCCTGCAATAATGAGATTTTTCAAGGGAGGATGCTGTCATCATGATGTCGCTATCAATGGCATCACAGCACCCCCTTGTTTTTGAGCTGCGGTGGCTCAAGCGGTTAAGACGCTGAACTCCAGGCTGTGGAAGGTCGGTAGTTCAGCAGTCCGAGACCCGACATGACAGAGTGAGCTCCAGTCTTTAGTTCCAGCTCCTGCCAACCTAGCAGTTCGAAAGCAAGACATTGCAAGTAGATAAATAGGTACCACTTCGGTGGGAAGGTAACAGCGTTCCGTGCGCCTCGGTGTTTAGTCATGCCGGCCACATGACCACGGAAACGTCTTCGGACAGCGCTGGCTCTTCGGCTTTGAAACGGAGATGAGCACCACAACCCTAGAGTCGGACTCGACTGGCTTTCGAGCAAGGGAAACCTTTACCTAAAATATTGATATAATGCTGTAGTGTTGCCATGATAATTTAAATCTCTGAATTCACAGATTTCATTTTTTTAAAAGTAAGTCTCTAGTCCCTTCCCTTGTGAAAATATGCCTTTTTCCTTATATATCCATGAAAAAAAAGAAAGAGCTACAGACTTACTGTTTTTGAATTCAGGTGTGTAGCCGTGTCGGTTTGAAGCAGCAAACAACATTTGAGTCCAATGGCACCTTTAAGACCAACAAAGTTTTATTCTTTATTCAACTTTCATGTGCATGCAACCTTCTGAAAATTCAGAGAACTTGCTAAGCCTATTGTTAGAACGCTTCAGTGATGTATTGGTCTTTTAGTGCCATTAAAGAAAAGAAAAGAAAAAGAAATCACTCATCTTCAGCGTAGAGGGAAGGAGAGGGCATGGTTTGACCATGGCAGTCCAGTCATCGGGCAGGGGGCTAGAGGTGGGTGGGAGTGGGCAGAACAAATAAAAGCAGCAGAAGCATTATGCACGACGGGGGGGGGGAATCCAACTCGAAACCAGCTCCCAGAAATTAAAAGTGGTCTCAAAAGAACTGGGGGAAAGTAAAAAAAACTGAAATGAAAACTAAGGCACAAGAATACAGGCAGAAATCAGGGGATAAACCCAAGCAGTGTGGGCCCAGAACGGGTGGGGGGAACAAAACCCACACAGAAAAGCCCCGTATCCAAAAAATAAGTATTTCACTTATTCCAAAAGAGGAATTACTTCATATGAGGGTTTTTTTTTCCTTTTCCTGGGGAGACCCCACATTTTTTTCTGGGAATTTTTGTTCCTCGGCCATACACATCTCTGTACAGGGCACAGTAATGGGCTCTACGTTTCCTGTGATTCCCATTCACAAACGTTTGTCCCCCGCACTGATGTCCCCAAGTGCGTGAAGTTCTGTTGGTCACTCAGCCTTCAGCCATTCCAGATCTTAAGGCATCATGTTTTGGGGAGGGTCTCCACCTAACAGACTGTCTGCTCTCTGCAGTTACCACTCTGGTTCTATCGCTTTCGGCGCCCTCATCCTCACTATCGTCCAGGCCATCCGCATCATGCTAGAATATCTGGACCACAAGTTGAAAGGCAAGTCATGAGCACACCAGGAGGAAAGGACCCACTGTGGTAAAAAAATACCCCAGAGCTGAGGGTGGTGTCACTGGTCGCATTGTCACTAGCTCTAACGTTCTTTCATGTTCTTGTAGTGTTTAACTGGGGGAGAAGCAAAGCTTTTTTTCTGTGGGAATGCGCCGGAATGGAGTTCCGGAACCTCTTCAACAAAATTCTTTTAAAACTGTTTAAAAGTTAATGAGTTTTCAGTATACAGATTGAAAACTTCATTTCCTTCCTGAGAGTTCTGGCACCTCTCTTTTTTTTAAAGCCCTGGGGAGGAGGGAGATAAGAATGTGACCTTGGAGGGGAGAGAATGTAACTCGGTTATGCCGTGGTGGCCAGACCTCCTCCTCCTTTGAAGTATCAGGGGTTATTTAGAGGCAGGTGTCCATTTTATAATTTCTTCTCCTTCTCTCCAGTGCTTGAGGTGGCTTCTGCCCCATACACATACTAAAACTATAAATGTCAAGGTCTCCCATTAAAAAAAGAAGAAGAGCCTTGCTGGATCAGATTCAAGGTTCATCTCACCCAGCATTCTGTTTCTTGAAGCCCACAACTACTCTAGGAAGCTCATGTCTTCCTGGAAACCCAGAACTTTCTGGAAGTCCACAACTAGGCCAGGAAGGCTACAGACTTCTCCTGCTGTTGTACCCCCCACCCCATTGGCGGTTTAAGCAGTAAAAAGACAGGGTCTAAGAATAAACAAACTAGTGTTCACAGATGTACTACTTCTGAACATAGAGCTTCCATTTATCTTTTGGGATTAACAGCTGTTGATGATCCTGTCTTCCATTAGTTTATCTAATTGAGCTGTCTGAGCCCCGTGGCCATCGCCATGTCTCGATGCCAAGAATTCCAGAATTTTATTATGTTTTGTATGAAGAAGTAGTTTCTTTTGTCTATCCTGGCTCCAAATAAAACCAGCCCCCTATCACAGCCTAATGCAGTTATTTTTGCTGCAGTAACCAACACAGTTGTGATCTGTGGGTCTAACTAGACTGTGATGTTCACAGACCTCCAGAATCCAGTTGCCCGGTGTATTCTTTGTTGTCTGAAGTGCTGCTTCTGGTGCCTGGAGAAGTTCATCAAGTTCCTCAACAGAAATGCCTACATAATGGTAAGCTTTGCTCGTGGGCCAAAGAGAGGATCGAGGGCAATAGAGGTGGTTGTGGGGAAAAGCAGAGGAGGCATGATGTGAGAGAGAAGGAAATGGGTGGGTAGTAGAGGTGTGCAAAAAATTGTTTGGTATTTTCCTGATTCGGGTCTATTGGACCCGAAAAGTATGGGTATTCCCAAATATTGCCAAATCCCCAATATTGGTATTGTATGGGGAATCAGGTAAATATTCGGGAAACCTGAATTTATTCGGCTTCATTATACCCTATGGAGACTGTCCCCATAGGATATAATGGAATTCAGAAGGCATTTAAAGAGACTGCGGTCTCTAAATGCCTTCTGTAAATACTTTAAAGAGATCACAGTCTCTAAATGCCTTCTAGCTGTGACCGAATAAAAGATGAATAATATTGGCTTTTATTTGGGCACAGCTATTTCGGTAGCCAAATCAGATTCTCTAATCTGATTTGGCTGAATAAATACCCCCAAAATACCGATGTCCAGATTCAGAGACCTGCTCAGCTGTGAACCTCCCTAGAAAGGTTTAGGGTGAGTCACTCAGTCTAACCAATATTCAGAATAAAGTCTGAGACCAACAAAGTTTTATTCTGGGTATAAGCTTCCGTGTGCACGCACACTTCATCAGATGCCACTGGACTCAAACTTTGTTCTGCTGCTTCAGACCAACACGGCTACCCCCTGAATCAATATTCAGAGTATTCCTGCACAGACCTCTCATGCATTCCTTGCAAATCATGGTTTGTCAGTAAGGAGCTATAATTGGAGGGGGGGAATCTTTCTTTGGCCTCTTCCTTATTTGGAAGACTTTACCTTCCCAGCATTGACCATGGTTTAACACCGAACTTCAGTTTCCCTATTATAGCTCCACAATGAAAAGAGCTAGAAATGTAATTCTTAAAAAAACAGGGAGCTAGTAGGTCATGGCAGTAGATCATTATAACTCTATAATTCTATAAGGATCTAGCAGTTTCATTTTAAGCCCATGATGAAGGAGGTAGCAAGGAAAATGGCACCAATATGAGCAGGACCTGCAAAAATGCATACCTTTCTGTTCATGCAGCATCCAAAGGTGCTTTGGCTGCAGTCTTTCCAAACCAGGTTTAAGAAAGATTGTAGCAAAGTAGGAGGAAACAGCAAAGCAGGACAAATTGAGGACTGACTCGCGTGGATCCTCCTGAAAATGAGTGAAGCCTAGGTGGTGGAGCAACATTTCTCTGTGGACACAGCCTTTAAGTCAAATGTGAGCCTCAGTGAGTTACAATACTCTGATAAAATCAACATAGCTCACATTTTGCCACAATAATTTGAAAAGAATTCATAGCACATGCCTGCCCTCAAGAAGAAGAGTTGGTTTTTATACCCTGCTTTACACTACACGAAGGAGTCTCAAAGCGCTTTACAATCTCCTTCCCTTCCTTTCCCCACAACAGCCACCCTGTGAGGCAGGTGGGGCTGAGAGAGCTCTGAGCGAACTGTGACTGGCCCAAGGTCACCCAGCTGGCTTCATGTGGAAGAGTGGGGAATCAAACCCGGTTCTCCAGATTAGAGTGCGCCACTTTTAACCGCTACACCACACTGGCTCTCATGAGCCAGTGCAGTGTAGTGTTTAGGAGCGTGGACTCTAATCTGGGAGAACTGGGTTTGATTCTCTACTCCTTCACATGCAGTTGCTGCTGTGACCTTGGGTTAATCATAAGTTCTTTCAGAGCTGTTCTCTCACGGGCAGTTCTCGAAAGGAGCTCTCTCAGCCCCACCTACCTTACAGGGTGTCTGTTGTGGGGAGGGGAAGGGAAGGAGATTGTAAGCCCCTCTGAGACTCTTTCGAGTAGTGAAGGGCGGGGTATAAAACCAATCCCTTCTCTCTTCTTCTTCTTCTACTTGCCACAGTCCCGGATCTTCCAGTACGGATTGTCTGGAAAAGATTTCTCTCATGCAGGCTTGGTTCAGTCAAGGTGAAATCATGGTTTACTCGAACTATGGCTGGTCTACGAAACCAGGGTTTGGCTGGCGTACCCCTTTTTGTTGCAACAAAAGTATCAGTTCCTTGGCATCACTCAGGGAGTGCAATATAGGGTGGCACCCAGGGCCGGCTCACCCAGTAAGCGAACTAGGCATTCAGCTAGAGTGCGGGCCGGCCCTTAGGGGCACTAAACAGGACCCGGCGCCCCCCCACCAAAGCCCCCCCAGCCCCTGCCAAAAGGACACGGAGGGGCGCAGCACAGGCAGGCACAGCAGTATCCCCCCTGGGAAGCCCTTCCCGCGGGTTGAGTGAGAGGAAGGCAGCGAAGGTGCGACTCCACCCCCCCAACTACAGAATCCGCTTTGAAGGCGCTTTCCGGCCGGATGGGGTCGGTCCATACGGCGGGATCCAGGTAGGGTTGCCAAATCTGGATCGTCCGGGAGCGGGGGGCTCCAGGACGATCCCTGGTGTGTGTGCGCGCGCATAGCCATTTGAGGGGAAATCTTTGTTTTCCCCTCAAATCGCGTGGCCCCGCCCCCAGCGTGCGACGTCACTTCTGGGTGACGCGCACGCGGGGGTGGGGGTATTTGGCAGCCCTAGATCCAGGGGGAGAGAGAATTGACTGAGAGTGGATCATTGAGGGGGGCAGCCCCAGTCTCCAGAGGGGAGGTGTCCAGGCCCCACCGGGCGGTTGGCATCTGCGCCTCGCTTAGGGCGCAGAAACACCTTGGGCCGGCCCTGGTGGCACCGAGGAACAAGAGAGGATTCAGCCAGGACATCCCTACCTCATACAAAACCACAGGTCAAAATTACTGTCTTTAATAGGCCGACATCGAATCATAGGTTCAGATTCAGTTTGACCTACAACTA